AGATAATGACTTCAGGTTGCCTTGTCGCACTTTAAGACCCAATAAGGTGACAAAAGCCTTTCCAATCTGGGACTCTCGTCAATTTATACGGAGTCTCGACTGCTTAATCCTTTCCAAAGCTGCTTCGAGATGACCGCTATGCTCCACCTCTGATTGGCCATACACCACGATATCATCCCCGTATACCGCCACGTTCTCCAAACTACGCAATAAGCGAAACATTAAACGTCTGAAGGTAAACGGGATTCCCGATAATCTAAAAAGCGTCCGTTTAAATCGGTATTGTTTTTCACCGACGATAAACGATAAGTTCTATAGGTCTTCTTATTTGGTCGCTAGTTGCCAGTATCCAGATCTCTGATCCAGAACCGTGAATATCTTCGACTGTTGCAATCTATAAACAAGTTCAGCAACTGTTGGAACTGGAACGAAACGATTCACGAAGATTGCATTCAGCCTTCGGAAGTCCACACAGAAAGGGTACTTCCCAGTAGCTTTCTTCACTAAGGCAACTTTAGAATTGTATGGGCTGTGCGCCTATTCAATCACATCCGCTTCCAGCATCTCCTGTACTTTCCTCTTCACTTTCAGCCTCCAGATGGATTGGTATACTTCAAGGTTCCTGAGGCTGGTACTTCCGGTGGGTTAGCAAGACGGTGTGCTTGATCCAGGCGCGAAATCCATACGAACTGCAGTCATCTCTAAACAAGGGGTGATATTTTGTGATCAGTGACTGCAAGATCGGGCTCAAATGTAACGTGGCAATAACCGTTTGCGAAAGCATTGTTCCCCTCCGGCCAATGAGTAGCAACGACTAGTGTTTAGGCAATAACTTCCCTCGTTTTAACTCGACGATAACCTTGCTGAACTTCAAGAAATCTGCTCCCTATATGGTTTGTTTGTTTCTAGTGACACGATGAAACCGTGCGCTAGTTTCCGTCACCCGAGTCCCACGTGTTCGACCATACCACCAATACTCACTGAGTAACGGCCAACAGTTCTCACGACCATGGAGCACGATCGAGGCTTTTCGCTCCGCCAATGGTTGAGCAGTGACACTGCGGCACCCGTAACGATCAGACACCGTTCCATCATTCCGTCTACTTCCACCATCAGCTCGATCGCCACCCTACTCAGCGCCCCGAGTACACGTTCTGATGCAAGAAGAAAAACAAGGTTGTATGTGTGTATTTGGTACACGACCGGCAGCGCCGCTCACCGGACATTGTCTTTCCAGTGTCCCTGTTTCCCGCAAAATAGAAACATCCCCTTGTTCACTCGTCCGAGCGCTGAGTGAGAAGCCCATGGACATCTTGCACGAGCTGTCCCATCATCCGTTCCAATTTATCCAACTACTCCACGCCGCCATAGTGTTCCTCCTTCAGCGCAGCGAGTGACGCGTCGCCCAGCTCTTGAGCAACCTGTGCCAACTTCTCCAGCCACATTCACCAAGTAGCATGCGCAATCCGGACGCGTTCCGCGATTGGCTGTGGGTGACCGTCCATGAACTGATTCACCAGTAATTGCCGTTTTGTCCGTTTCCGGTAAGTCTTTGTTCAACTAGCTCCTGATGTGAACTGCATACACGAGGGGACACGCTCCTACACCAAGCAGTGCTAGCTTGAACCGCTGCATCGTCTCTTGGCGATCGGCGGGGCTGTCCAAACCGGGAACCAACATATCCTTCGCGGCGACCCACACCAACTTGAGAGGGTCTATTCGTGCCGCCTCCAGAACTGCCTCCGCCCTGCCTCTGAGGAGACTCCGTAGGGCCACTAGCTTCGCCCGGTATGTCTTGACACCCACCGCCTCCGCCACATTCTTGAAATCCACCAAGAAGGACCTTGAATCACCTTCAAACGGCTCCTACCAGTTCTCGTAATGCACCTTGGGTGGTCACGGCACCAATGCAAGAACCCTAGATGCAGAAGGAACTGTTTATGCTTTTAAACAGCTCATACTAGGTGCATCGGTTCTGACCAACAAAACATCCATTTATCTTCGCACTCCTTGTTGAAGATTGCATGGTGCGGATTTCTTTCTGTTTAGTGGTTGTGTTTGGTACATTGCTTATGCATCCATTCCTCGTGCGCATACAACTGCGGTTCCAAAGTGTTCCTTTCCTATGGGTGAGTCAGCATGGCCTGGTGTTGTTTGGTTGGTGTTTCGTATCCTGGCTCTTCCACACTACTGATAACTGGCGCAGTAGTGTCGACCTTTAGTCCGCCACAAGGAGATCGGTGCGGAATTCCAACAGTGGGTTAAAACTTTTGGCTTGAACTGCATTTACAACACATACACAAACCCACCACAGTTGGATCCCTTAGACAGTCACCGTGAAAAGAGTGACCTGTATAGTTGTGCATTTCGTATAATCTTGAAAAAGATAAGTAGGATGAATAATATTACAAAAGATTAGCTTTGATATACCACTATATCATGACTATTACATTAGTGATCTGCATGAAAAGCTGAAAAATACTTGGAACCGATCTTGAAGCCACCAAACCTTTCCTTTCATCTAACGGACTCGTCTTCAGCTTGCTATTTTTAGTTGCTCACATAATATCATAATTGCTTAGCGCTCTTCCTCTTGTTGCCTCCCGATTTTACTGTTTCCTCCTTCTTAGTTTACGCAACCAGGCAAAGAGGGACTGCCAGTGCAGGATACATGGGCAGTAATTGGTTAGTCAGGGTGTGATGCGGTCCCTGTGTTAGGTGCATCAATTTTTCAGTCCGTTAAGTCCTGGTTCAAGAAGAAAAAGGAACACTCACAGAATAATCCTATCGTTCCAGTCATACTTGAAATTAAAGTTGAGTGGGGTATCTAGTAGTCAAGAGTTTTTGCGTTTTCATAGTTAGGTAACCAAAACGTTTTTCATCTTAGTTATGTGGTTCAGAATGTCGATGAAAGACTGATCGACTACACGTTTATCAGAATAGGTCGTAGTACGATAGTTTTCAAGGTGATCGAATACTTTGGGAAGGCGCGACAGGCGATGTTCGACAATAACGCTTAGTATAGACACTTGATCAGAGCAGATGAAAACAAGGTCAAGTCCACAGAGCACCTGAGCCGAAGTATTTTGAAAAATGTGCGGTATTGTGAAGGTGGAAGGGCATGCAGACGATTACGTAAAAGTCAGAGAGTGATCACGGTCGCTTCGATAGTGCCTTTAGTTGACACTGGATTTTATTGTTAGATACTGAGAAGAGCGATGTGGAAAGACTTAGTTTTTCCAGATACGCCAATGGAAAGACTATTTTCGTGTTGCATGGAGTGTTTATTGGGAATGGTTATGGCACTGAACATTAGACCGTCACCGCACGACCACCAAATAATCGTCATTTTGGGTTCCGCATAAAATGGAATGACCTGGCTGTTGTCGTAAGAGTGAATGATCCCGCGGCTAGCATTGTATTCGAATGCTATGACATTGAAGAGTACGGCTAGTGTTCAGGAACAAGTACGCGAAGTCCAGTGGATCTACCTGCGGTGCGCTTTTCAGGAAGCTCTAATTAGTTAGTGCGGTTCTGAAACCTCTTGCAACACAGGTCCACACACTGGCCGAAGTTCATAAGAAATTCGATGCCAACGACGCCATTCTGGACGTCAGCAGTCATAAGGTCCAGTAAATGTGTATTCATGCAAAATACAGAGCATTGAGCTTCTGGCAAAAGCATCAAGTTTCGCATGATCAGTTACCAGTGCAGAACGCGATTACCGATGAATAAAGTGTAATGCTGAGTTATGAGTTGGTATGGTCTAACGGATGGGATTTGTGCAATCGAACACATACAAGAGGCGGCTGTTGACTTGGTCAGCAGCAACTGTCTTCTTTACTAGCACGTTCTGTCGTTTCCCTGTTGAGGAGCAAAAAATAATTCGGGTGCTGGCAACTGGTGTGGCGGTCACGAGAAACATCACCCAGTCCGTGATGATAATCAAGTTGATCGCCAGAAACGTTGCGGTGTCCACCTCTGGAAATATATTTTTATTCGAAGGCGTGCTCACCTCTAACATTATAATGTTTTCTAACATTGGGAGCCGTTGTTTGATGTAAGTGAGTAGGGTAAGCTCGTTGAGGCTGTTCGTGAATTACTCTAGTCGATGGTACAAGGGCGTTCTAAGGAAACCTTCGCAGCTTCCGTTATTCTGTTCAGTAAGACTTTGCCATCGAGAACCCTGAAGGAAGGTACGATGTTCACAGGAGGGCATTTGCTTCCGGCCGGTGGCCGAGTTATCTGCGGGCCTGGTTTGCAACCATAAGGTCACCGGTTCGAACCCGCGTAGAGGTGGGCGTACTCGCGGTATATTCAGCCCACGTGTGACGCGTTGGTCGTGTGGTAGCGAAGTACCGTTACGGCGTTCAGATGACACATTATTATTTGTATTACATGCGAGCACATGTGCTAGAGAGGCATTGACGAGGTGCATCCTCGAAGGTCAACACTTGAAAGTAGCAGCCGAGTGCGTTGCACATTGGACGTACTGTACTCGGAAGAGTCCCCTTTGATGTTGTCGTGAAGCGAGTCTATCGGCATGCAACTGAGAATATCTATGACTTCGGGTGTCATTTGAGTAAATAGTCGAGGGACAGTGTAATAAAAGACAGGATTGCAACGTAAGCTTGCAAAATTGGCTATTGGCTTCAATTTCACTACATCGAATACGTAGGTTAGAAAATCTTGGAAGGACAAACGATTAAGTCTCATCTTATCTTGCAGTCCGTGAAATTGAACATTTGTTGGTCTGCGTCTATGCTTTGACATTTGTTTTGACGCTGTATTTTGCTCTTCTACCTGGAAGTTAAGGATTAGCATCTCTGGAAGCGGATAACAGTTTCTTCTAACGAAGCTCCCGACTAAAAGTACTTGGTCACCAACATGCTTACACGCGGAAAGTTAAGGAGCATAAACGGCCGAAATGTGTTTCTGGGTATCGCTTAGTTCACAACAAATGTAAATCTGCGCGTGCTACTACCACAGTGTAAACGTACTCATAGTTATTCCGCTTGAAGTCGAATACAATGCGCTCGAGAAGAGAGTTAGCCAGCCGGCGACACTCCTTGGACAGACCGACTTTGACGTCCTCGCAGTCCAGTCGTATCAAATCGAAGTACTCAGCGTTTTGGAGGGTCATGACTTCATGGCCAATCGAGTGCAGTTTCTCCGTGTACTACAAGTTGTAGAAACGATGTAAGTGAGCTAGAGCTGATGAGGTTAAGGTCATCCTTGTAATGCCTAGGGTGTGTCTTCCAAAGTATGATTAAGGGCGGATCAAATTGTACAGGCGCACTCTAGAGTGTATGGAATTGTTGTTCATTTGTGCAACCGTTGGGTTGTGTCACGTTACAAAAATATTACTGAATGACATTGGTGATGCCAATGTACGAATGTGGGCGAGCATGTACACTAATCTCCGTGGTGACTTTATGACTGTCATAGACCGTGGCTGCATTGTATGTTACAAAGGGAATTTCCCAAGCAGTGAAGTGAAATAAATAATGCCGTTGCAAAAGTTAGCGGAACAATACAGGGTCTCTCCATCATGAAGATAAGTTGAATAAGGCATATACATGGTGAAAATTTACAGGGTCATTTGTCGATTTAGACTGTGATAACCATCGGTAAGTGACAATTTTATACTGATCTAAACCCCGTGGTCTAGTTACCAAAATGGGTCAGATGACTTGAACAGGGTGCCGTTTAACCGCATGGTCACCGGGAAAGTAAATGAGGCGCTTTAAGCGAGGTGTGCTACACTCATGAAGATCGCTTTTCAGTTATCCCTGAACTAAAGTAAGTCTAAGGGAAGAGGAGAACGACAGATAATTTGGTGAAGCAAAATCGTTTTGAACGGTGGTAAGCGGTCTACACCTTCTAGGTTAGGGTCATATCATAGAGCGAGTATTCGAAGAATTAGTCACGTGATGTCCCCTGGGAAAATATGCAGATGGCATGGTAGAGAGTGGAACTTACGCGGCTGCATTTGGCACTCGCCCACATAAGCCAAAGTGTCGGGAACACTTGAAGCGTATATGAAAGTCAGACATGGCGTAAGTGCACCGCGGTGCGCTTGATCACAAAATGCACACTAAGTATGGTAATAATAATAATAATCAAAAAGCAACAGCACATACGTGTTTTATGCCAAGGATACACTGCAATTAAAGTGTTAAATTAGAGGAATTGTAATTGGCGTGGTGTGGAGGCTCATGTAAGATGCTGCCCAAGTTGAAAATTATGGTAAATGCGCCCAAATCTTGATAATACAGAAGAGGATAAAAGGTTTCCTAATGTACGAATTCAAGGTGACATTTTTCTTACTGTTTTAATTATCCCACATCAAAGGAAACGACACGATAAATGCTTGGGAGAAGACGAAGCGGTAAACTGTACGGAACTCGCCGTTGAATTTGAGAAGCAGAATGATGGCCGACCCGCACTACTTACTACGCTGCCCAAGTCCCAAGACTAGAGCAAATGTTTTATCCGTACAGTTCCCTCCCGGTTATTAATCCGCTGAAGCTGAATATTCACCCTTCATAGGTGCATAAAACACATTCTTGACTTGGCTTGACTTCGCTCATCGAGCTATTGTTCCACCATCGACTGGTACGCAGCGTTAGGCGAATGACTCCGTTGTTGGCCCGAATGTTGCGGCTCTTCTTCGTTGGCAATGACACAGTAACCGAACTGTCCAAGTTGGTCTAAACAATTTCCTTTTTTATATCTGTTAAAACAGACCAGCTTCTTCTGTACAAGGGACCTAGCAGTATCTACTAAACATCGAGGGTCCGCGCGAACTTGAATCAGCAATGCAAAGTCAGTTAAGCATAGTGAACACGTTCGAAACCTCTGGTTCATATGGCAACTTCAAGTTAACCGGCGTGTCAAAAGCTACGGAGACCTGAGAACGCAAACGCGCATCCGACTGCATCAAAGGATGCGATGTCCAGAAAGGTAAGGTGTTAAACAAAGAGCTCACATGGGCTAGAACTGCCGTGAGTTTATCTTCATTGCTTTAGGTGGTGAACGCCTGTTTTGCGTAGAATCTACTTCAACAATTAAAACATTAACTATCTGCAGCGCTTTTCCTGTGTAGGATCACCACATGCAGTAGATAAAGGAAGAAGCTGCTTCCATCTAGTCAGAGTTCACAATCAGACTGGATGAAGTGAGGCCAAGTAGTTAAGTATAGTACCCAGATGGCCGCATAATTCAAGTCAGCATTGTGTGATGCACGGGTAGAGTTATTAGTAAGAAGTTTGACGTGCTATGGTAAAACTTCAACAGGAGTATTCGAACGCGCTTGGTAGATACTTGAGGCGGAAACTCTCGACAATATGCGCTGATGAGGAACAATTCTATTGATGAATGAACTCAAAAATAGTCTCGTATCTCTTCTAACTAATTCTCGTGAAATTCAATCGGGTTTATATTGGTGCACTATCACTCCGCGTGTTGTACGTGCTTGTCATATTAGTTGCATAGCAGTGCTGCTCTCCATACCTTATGATCCATCGTGGTTTGATCGCCTTAGATCACAAGAACAGGTTTGACTGAACACTACCCCAAGTAGTGGCTAGGGTCAATAGTGAGCGCGCTATGACCAACAGATTCTTGTAACAGATTCCAGCTAAGTAAGAAAAATCACCACAAATAAGCGCCAGAGAGTATGCACTTACCTCACAGTAAGCTCTGAATTCCTGCTCACTGTTTAAGAACTCATCTACTCTTTTCGCCTCCGAACCGTCCAGCAGGAAGGAATACGGTTTGACTGCAGGCGGTTGAAGGTAGTTAGAAACAGTATGTAGGGCACTTACCAAACACCTCGTCCAGAAAGCGATAGGGTGCCTCCAAGTACCGTCGGACTGCTGCTTGAAGTTTGGCTCTGACAGGATCCAACACGTGTGGAGGTAACCTGGTGTCCACGTAAGTTGGGCCCGTTGAGGTGTTCAGCCACGATTGCACAGTCGGAATCTGTTCCGGTTGGGCACAGATGGACGCATTGTTGGAATTCATTATTAGGATGAATGATCATTAATGCGATGAGACATTTGACAGCTAGGTGGAACGTCTGACTTCTTACGTGCATTGTTCAAACCGAGGGCATGCAAAAATAAGCTACTTTGAGTATGACCCACACAACAAGACACTTGCATACACTCACCATGAGTGATAGAGAAGTTGAGAGCGCAATTTGTTAAGGATACCTTTGCGAAGGTTCCGTAAATCCCTCTATGCCAGCACCGAGTTGCTTGAAGAGGGATTTTATGGTCAACTGAATGAGCCTCTTTGTCAAAATGGAGGTACGGATATTGTATTGGTGATCTGAACATTCAACTTGAGAACTTTTCAATGAGGAACCCCATCAGAGCGGCCAACACGGTGTAGTCTCCGGTAATGATAATGGTAAGCGGTTGCTAGGTTTAGCGAGTATTAACTTTCGATACAGAACTCTGCAGATGGTGAGCTGGTGCCCCCAGCCTCGAACTAGCCATGGACGCAAATTACCTTTGGAGGGGTTGCGTCCGAAACTGCTGCTCAATTTGTAGCGCATGCGTGGAATCCATTCATGTACTTGTATTTGGCGATTTTTGCGTGTGCTTCGGCGAACACACGCGACGATGCTGTTGTAGTGACCCGGAGATTGCCTCCGTTTGGTGGCGAATTGTTGCGCAGTCATCCTAAAGTTGTAGTTTGTAATGTACCTAGGGAATTAAGATGCACGGTTGTTTGAATGTTGCTCGGATCAACCCACACACATGCCTTCCTGAACGGGACGCCATCGCCTGCCAGCTTCCAGCTACGGACCCGGCACGAGTTCACATCTTCCGTAGCCAGTTCGCATTATGGTGCCGTAGATTTAGCCATAGCTAGTCTAGATCCTTTTTAACAAACTTTGTTCGGTTTACTAGTCATGTTCTGCTTATCTATGGTTGGCCGTTTGTTCTCGTATTAGGGATATCGCACACCAACTTCCGCGCCATACTGTGTGCGCATAGCTATTTGCCAACTGGCAAAGTCAGAGGTTCAGAATGAGCTGACACGAGATGACATTCTGTTAGTGTATGCGCTCACTGAACACAGTTGACGATCACAGGTTGCATTTTCGCCAGACCTTATTAGCAATGGGTATGTCTAAGTAGCAAATCCAACTACCGACCTAAGCAGTGGATGATCGCTGGCTTATTCCGGCTAAAAAACACGGGAGTCACAAAAAATCAAAACAAAATTTGATTATTAACCTGAAGAGAAGACGCAAAGATAGATGGTTTCATCATACATCGGGAATAACAGTATCCATTGCTCTTAGTAATCATCATAAACAATTCTGTTTCATTCGGGAGATGGGCAGCATGAAGCATGGTGTTAGCGAAACTATATGGACGAGAGTGGACAGCTTATCCACAACTTGTCAAGACGATTAAAGTGTTGAGCTGAGCACTTTGAAGCGCAAGTTACTCGATCAGAATTGCGCTCTGCTTTCCGCGAGCCGTCTCTTGCGATCAGGTTTGCAGCTCAGAAGTCGAACGTGACATCGGTCTACTGTAATTGTATAGGGCCGCCTCATCGGATGGGCTTCCTCCAGTTCTCTCATATTCGGCGGATTGCTCGTGTGGATTACATTTATGATTTATTAGCAGAAGTGCGGTAGTAATAAGCTGTAATATAAGCAGTGCTTCGGTACGCAATACCGATGTTTCTCTTCGCTGTCGCGCGACCACCAACAATCGCGCTTGGTCCAGGGATACTGTGAGGGTCGCCCGGTGCCCTACACAGGATTGGACGCGCGCCCTCGGATTACAAGGAAGGCTGGTGATCCATTAAGCTACGAACCGGCACAATAAACTGTGCCAAGCAACTGGAGCTAGTCCATTATCTACCCGATCTTCAACGGGGCCTAACCTACGGAATGTGGCAGTCATGGAGGAATTTGCCTGATCTCCGTCACCTCCAAGTTACAAGCCTCTATCTTTCTTCATAGACTGAATGGCGCCCGAAAAAGTCTGATTCGGGAGGATCAATACGTGTTTTGTCAAAATCGAATCGCCAGCTATCGGAGCACTGTCACTTAGATCGGCGGCCTGCCATGGTCGTGTTCCTTGACCTCAAAAGTGCATTCGACTCAAACAGTTCATGTGCCGCCGGGACTATATGACTAAGAAAGATGTGCCCGAGAAGTATGATAACGATAACAGTGCGCTTTATGTTTGTATTTCCGGCAGAGTGGGAGCTCATTGCAATTTGTCGTCGCCCTTCAGAACCCCCAGATATATGAGACAAGAATGTACGCCGTCATCTTAGTTTTTGTACTTCGCTGTTGGCGAAATTATGGCAACTGCGTAGACCGGACGTGCCTTAGAAAGTGTGGAGTGACTCGCAGGTGATTGACTTCTTGACTTGGGGTGTGTCGGCGAAATTGCCATTATTTGTGACAGATCACAAACATGCCGAGCAGCATCGGACGAATTGGCACCGGCTGTCCATTGTTTTATTATGTGCATTGCATCCTCTAAATGCTAAGCTTTCCTCCAAGATTAGCAGGGACCGAAAACTGTGTTGACCCTTGGTGGGGATCATCTAGAAGTTGTTCAGAAATTCAATTGCCTGAGCAGATGTATCAGTGCTTGTGGGGTAGGAAATGTGGTCATGAACCCTATATCAAAATATCGGTACACGTTTGCTCAACTTTGTAATCTTTCACCATAGGGCGACATCACTCTCTACCTGAAGAGTACAGTCTACGCTGCAGCTGTCCGTTCAACGTTAATATGCGGCTGTAAAACCTGGCCCATCAGATCGGCATATATGATGATGCTAGTTGTTTTTGACCACTGATGCTTTCAAAAGTAATCTCATATTTGGTGTGAAAAGTGCTTGAGTAACGAGAGTGTTTGGCACCACTCTTATGGCGCAGGGCGGACTAAACCACTCAGCACTATTATTTCATACTCCAGGCTCCGATGGTTGGTCATGTGTCAGGTCTGCTAGCACAATGACTTTCGCGATACGCATTAATTGCGTGACTGGGATTTCGATGAAAGAAGAGATGGGGAGGCCAGCCGATGACTTTCTCAGGAGGAATAAAGGACCTCGCTTTGAAGCAAGACTCGGTTGAAGCTTCCCGACCCTCGGATTAGAGACCGAAAGACGACAAGCCCGTTAGGCTGTCGACTCTAGTTGACATGATGAAGAGTGGATCTGAACGGGTCGTTCTGTGAGTATATTTAACTATCCCCATCCCGCCTAGTCACAGCCTTTAAGCATGGTGTCATGGTCGAGGCATTAAAAGCATGGGGAAATATTTAAAAAAAGTTGAAGTAAATTGAGTTTATGAACAATATAAACTGTACACAACCGGTATAGATTCAAACTCTTCCGATCTACGAATCCCCCCGTTCCAAATATATCTCGAAACTATAGTAGTATTTTTGTTTTGTATTACTGTTTTTGGCACTGTTCTTATTTCCTTTGTTATGCATTCTTACTGCCGTCTAAATCAGAGGTTCTCAACCTGGGGTTAATTACCCCCAAAGGGGTCAAATGGTATGCTACGAGGGATAAATATAGGTATAATGACCGGGTCAACAATTTGTCTCTAAACAAAAGTAATACAAAAATTATCAGTAGTAAACATATAACTACCTAATCACTACTGATTAGCCACTGGCGATTGATTGTTAGTAACTGGTCAATGAATTAGACCCTTTTCGGTAACAAATTTTATTACCTAAAATCGAAATACAAGTCTACAAAACACAGCGGCTAGATGGCTCACTCGTCGAGTATAGTTCTTTTGAGTCAGGTAGTTGCTCGCCGAGTCGAATTATCGGGTTGATTAAAGATTAAGATGGAATCATAAGTCAGCCGACCAGGTAAAGGAGTGAGCGAATGTGTACAAGGTGAGAGAGATTAAATAAGCGATTAGCGTTCTGAAAGTGTCGATGCAGAGTAGTGATGGGAAGCTATTCTCCAGGATGGAATTAGAAGGGGTGCTTGAAACAAATGAGAAGTCACTGAAATCTATTCATGTTTGATCGGGGTTTACACACCAAACCATAACTTACGATGTGCGGTAGCCAAAGATGCACCAAATTTGACAGAAATTGTCAGAACTAAGCAACATCAACAGCCTCATTAATGCACATCACTTCGGGCTTATAGGAAATTGCTCACAAAGTGTTCACTTTACTTTAATTATCCAGAGCAATTACAAATAGCATTCATTTTCAACAATCTAAAGCAAGAGACACAGGAGTTAAAAGGTAACTGACATTTTAAACCATTTTTTGCATTTGGTTATATAGAAACCACGTTGCGGGTAACAATATCAAAAAGGTTGAAAAGTACTGATCTAACTGAATCGCGCTGAAAGAAAACCCCGCATAACAAGGGGGACCGACTTCTGTCCGCTGGAGTGGCAGCTAAAGCGCCCTGAGTGACTGTCTTTATGCTCCATGTTGTCCTAGGGTGACACATCGAGGATGAATTTCAGTCAGAGAGCAAAATGTTTTCCAGCACAACCTTAGCGTATGCTGTGAATGCATTTTTCTTGGTCGCAAAAATCGTCCACGATCAGTGAAAATCAATTTCTAAATCGTAGAAACGCGGTAGTGAATAGGTTGGGCTACACCGAGACGTTTTTAAGCGACTGCAAATCTTCCTAACTGTGTTTCACTGGGATGGCCAGAAGCATAAGAACAGGCGTTCAGTGGAAGCTTATTGGGGCCTAGCGCAGACTAAAACTATACTTCACGAAGCAAAGATTTATAGGTAAAGATCGGGAGTGTAAACGATGCATTGTAAAATTTATGTCATATTTGGACGCAGTATACCATTTCTAGTACGATATTCTGTTCCTGTGAGTGAGTGAGCGAAAACGTGCAAATAATTTGACTGAACATCCGTCTGTACCGACAATGACAGCCGGGATGTTTCTTAACTATAGCTAGCATGCAGCTGTGATCCACTAGGCTCTGAGTTCCACTCAGCTCAGGCTATCTCCACCTGATGGATCCAAACCAGGACGAAACCGCGGTCGTGGTGTGCCAGTGTTGGGAGGAGCAACATCGAAATATTTCCATTTCGGATACAGTCCTTGCGATCGGGATGATCGAGGCCCACCACAAAGTAAACCGAACTCTCAGTAGAGGTTGCGCGTCGTAATCTAACTCCACAGCACGTGCTCAAAGCCCAACTTTGAAGGAAGATGTGCATTGAGCTACTGAAAATTTACTTACACATCTCAGGACCTTACTATAGTAGCTATCGGATATAACGAAAGTCCTATCTTATCTTATGGTTTTACTTTCTTCCCTAGTCCGATCAGAAATACTCATTTTGTCTCGAGTTCTCACAATACATTGTCGGATGGATCAGGAATCTAAATTATGACCCTCTGCTTTCTATAAAACGTAAAGCATTGCTGATTTTTTACTAGACTGAGTATACAGATTCCGAAACTGTAGCTTGTCGGCATAAGTGAACGGCGATCCGTCCAATCGCGGTTTGCTTTTCGTCCCTCACATAAGCATGAATGAAATAAAAGCAATCGTTCAATGTATTAACCTGACAATGAATGTCATATATACTTTTGTTTTAACTTGTAAAACGTTTCTTTTTAACAAACTTGTACATTCAGTTAGTTTAAGTGACCGATAGGCAATCGCTAATTGACTGATTTGCACGCCCCTGTTCCTCCCAGTTAGACACACTTTGTTTAGATATTGGTCACACGATAAATTGTAAGCTTAGTCCTACGTACAGTAATGCGCGGCGCAGATTTGGGACTCAGTTTCTGATGAGGATTAAAAGTATTTGTGACCAGACAGATGCTTTCCCGGCATATTTTATGTCGGCCCGTAGCCTAGTGGTAACGAGCTTGTCTCGTCATCTTGCGGTGCGGGTTCGAATCCGCGTAGGAGTGGGCGTCCTCGCGGTATACTCAGCCCGCGTGCGACTGGTGATGGTCGCACGGCAGCGAAGTGCCGTCACAGCATACATCTGACACATTAGTTATTTTAGTATACTGAACAGTTTTAGTAACCGGCATGTGACTGAAATGGGTCTTACTGTCACAGCCAGTATATATATATATATATATATATATATATATATATATATATATGATTGCGTTAGATACGGGTGTCTAACTATATTTGCGGACGACATCAACTTAGTGCACTGAGTTCTACCTGACAACTTGGAGTCATGCATACATAATATATGCGAAGATTTGTCATCCCTAAACAAATAAAAAAGCAAAGTATTGAGGTTTTCGGTGAATAAATATTGGATGTTGTGCTACGGATGAGGTATACCAGAATTATCCATCACTCTTACTGGCATCCCAATCTCAACAGCTTATTTCGCTCGACAACTTAGAGTTCGATACTCTAGCAGATTCAACTTCTACAAACACATCTTACACCAAGAAGCGAATGCGGTGCAACTAGCAAGCTAAATCACTAGATCCTTTTCACTGTTTCAAACATGGCTTTAATCAATCAAACATATACTGCAACCCACTCTAGAACAGCGTATTATCATACATAACCACCCATGAAAGGCAGATGGCATTGCTCTGGAAAACATCCAGCGCTCATTTATTAAAATACTCATGGACGCTCATCAGTTCTTACTTATGAGAAGTGATGTTATCACCTTCAGCTTGACACACTTTGGCTTCGGTAGTTGAAAAGCAACCTAATTTTGCTATACAGTAGAGTATATTTACGAGTCATCTCAGCCAGTACAGCTGTCGCATTACAAAATGGCTCAGCTCATCCCACCCGAAATGATAATTGTTTACTATTCGTACATAAAAGCAAGCAAAATATCCGCTTAAACTTCTTCTTGGTGATGTATGCTCATCTGTGGAATAAACTGTGGTTACTATTAAGGACCAGAAACATCTTGTATATATTCAAATTACATTTAAAATGTTTCAATGCCAAACATAGTCAAACTTTTCGACCTTCAGCAATCTAAACGTGTATTTATTGATTTCGGTTTAAAAATCATGCGAAATAGCTGGCGTTCCAGTGATGTTACTTGTTGCATACACCACAAAACATTGCATCAATTTTCGATATTGAATGCAGATTCAAAAACGTTTTGACAATACTCGCTGTATAAATAATCGATCCACAAAAAGAAACTTATCCCGTTAGTTGGGGTATATGCCTATTTATTTACTTATTTATTTAACCAATCGGTGTTAGACAGCTGTAGCACGGAAACTCTGATCCAAATAACAGCCCACGACCTTCCTATACGTAAGAAGCTACTTTCTTACTGAAACATTCTATAATATTGATTGCCAGGAAAAACGATTTGGATTCGCACGCCAACGTCGGGACGCATGTTCTTTAGTGTTTCGTTGATTGTAACATCGATGCATAGAAAAAGATACAGTTTTTGCAACCTTGCGCATTACTATATTAACGGTTCAGGAAGGCTAAATCAGTATTGCTCACATTCGTCGTGTTTTGTGACCAGGTTTTTTGAAGATGATGCAAAAGTAAAGCTCATTGGCAGGATTCCAGGTAATAATTCTATTAGACAAAATGGATCGCAACGAAGCTTTAATTTTGTGTAGTGAATGAGTATCCTTTAATTTGGATATAAAATGCAACAAGAAAGAATTTGCGAGCTAGGAAGACGAAGATACGCAACCCACGAAGTTGCTGCGCGTCGTAACTAAACAGTGCGATACAGTGAGGGCGGTGCACGACTCAAACAATTGAACTCAACATGCAGCTTAATATTCCGCACCAATTACCTAAGTCTACAATGTAATAGTAAGTTCAGTTTAACACAGACAAGCTGGGGAGGTCTCCGGACTTATACAGCGCACTTTTAACGAAGAGTCAAAAAATTGCAAATACAACGTACTTGCACACGAAGTCGGGATGATAGCTCGGCATACATTTGGGTGTGAATAGCAAGGGTGTAAATAAAAAAGGTTTGAAGTTGACGACTTCAGTGTCCTGACCACAAAGCTGTTGTTTCTTTTAAATTTATTGTCTAAATATCACCGCAAAAACCTTATGGATCCAAGCCTCTGTGTGTTAACCATCCCATTGTGTTGTACACTTTAGTCTAGTCACTTGAGTGGTTAACTTACGGAAACAATATTGTAGCTTTAATGCAGTAAGTGGAATAAATACGGTAAAATTTATGCTCAGTTGTCATTGTAAAATAAGAATAAACCGTAACCAGGAGGAATAACCATAAAGGAAAGCTTACCTGTTGAAGAGCACTCGTGATCTGGTCACTGATAAAAAGTATAAGTTCTTCCAAATCCTCAGCGCTAGGATAAAATTGCACCTTTTGATCTTCATACGTAAGATACATTTTAAGCACAGGTAATCGTTCAGTGTGCTCTTCATCAAACAACTCTACCCATTCCTCGAGATTTCGTTGTAAGAACCGTTTTATCTGCCAATAATTCGTTGCAAAGTGAAACGTAAACACACCTGAATAGACAGTAATGTAGAAACACAATTGAAAAAGGACTCTAACTGATCATTACGTAATGCTGGTAAAGAGTTCTTCTCGGAAAATAGCAGAAACAGTTTTGGTAGCCATCTAAACTACAAACGACGCAGGAAAAACTTACTTCTGCATCAAAATTTCAACATTACTCGAAACCTCTTGTTGGACAGCAGTTCGAAGGTTTTCAAAGTCAACGGCGCCCATATTTCTTGGATCGGTTAAGGTTTTTGGTTATTAAAGCTTACCTGTATGATTTCACATCTGTCAATCTAATTTGGGAAAATTGTCGTTGACATGAATCCAAAATCTTTAGCATGTGAGGATATAAAATCTTAAGACGAGAAACTAGTTCCTTTCTGTGTTTTACGTAATCCTTGTGCCAAGGTTTAGAGAAATTAATGTTTCTTTAGATTGGGGTTAAAAGAAACAAACATCTACTTGGGTTCTTCTGGGACAGGAAGAAGGTCATCATTTACAAGCTGCGGTAAATCAGGTTTCTTTAAAGTTTGTCGAGCGAGCGATTTCTTGAGGCTTTCAAAATAGTTTTCTCTAACTTCCAACAGGACCTGTTTTAGACCAACTTCTTTGCCGCTTTTAAGGCGTTTAGGTATTTTTGCTAGGATATTATGCAGCCAAGAGTCTTGGATAGGAGGAATAACGCTGCTTTCAACGTATGATTTGAGAAGTATATAGTTTTTCTTAAGCCAAAATGATGCTAATGTTAGCCTCTTACCGACAACTTTAGATCTTCGCTTACCATCTAAAAAAGTAATTATGGGGAACCATTGATATGAATCATACATATGGTGGTAGCTTGGGCTCAGGTGGATCAGCAATTCTTTTAGCGGCTTCGATTTGAGCTAATCTATAAGCAGCGTTCGCTCTTCGTATTCTTAATTGTCGCAAGATTAGAATGATAATTAAAGTACCTGAGTTTATCCAGATTAGCTTTCCCTTCCTTTTCCAGAGAATATTCCAGGAATTTAAGAAGTTTTGGATCCTTCTCTTTTTCCATTATTTCCCGTTTTATTTTCTCCAAAGGTGGCAAAGAGAAAATCTTTCTCCTTGTGGATTGGTCCATCGCGCATTTAAAAACATTTATTTTCAGCGGTTGCTAAATCTATAGCAACGAGTTATTCGGTCACATTGCTTAAGTCCATTATAACAATTATAGGTCAAAGTGTAGCCGGTCCGCGGGCGTCACGATAACATCTTAATAGGTAAGAAGCCGATCGGGTGTGCTTCCTATTATCCTTACTCTCCTATTCCCCTCCGGCACTTTTCCTTCCCCTTCCGTGTTTCCTTGGCCACTTCCCTCACATCGGTCTCTTACTAGGCAGTTGCGCATCCATCCGCCTAGATTCAGATTCAGATGGACTGGAACGATAGGAAAATCCATTGAGTGTTTCTTCCTGAGCAAACCGTTGAGTCAGGCAAGGATAAGGTGCTAGGTCTTGATAGATCTAAAACGAAACACCCGAATCACACCCTGGTCAACCAATTACTGCCCACGTTCCCTGCACTAGCAGTCCCCGCTGTGTGGGTTACGTGAAGTAAGAAAGAAGTAGAAAGTAAATGGAAGATAAATGGGAATGAAAGTTATTTAAAGGAAGGCTAACACCATTAAGTGAAGAGAATGACAGAATAAGAACTAAAAGTTTGAAGATGGCTATGTTCAGGGAAGGGACAGGTTTCGTATTGCCACCCAAGAGCGTCTAACTGACGTTTGGAACCCTTAACCGTAGGTTCACTGCCTACACTTTCTGGAAGCGATTTCCAGCGCTCGATTACGCGATAACCGAGTTTCCGCTCTGATTCGGTCAGAACGAGGCTTGTGTAGCTTCACGGGATGACTGCGAAGACAAGGCAACCTAGTCGGGCTAAATAGCCAGCTCAAGTCCGGTCCAACCTTCCCTGTTAAAATGCGGTAAGTAAGGATAAGGTCTCCTCGAAGTCATCAGTAGTGCATTGAATACATACCCATGCTAAGTAGACGCTTGGAGTACGATTTCCCCCGTAACCCCTCGACCAATTGGGTACCTACTCTCAAAACCCTCCCGAGTTCCATTTTGTCCCGAACAAGGCAGGGCGGGAAAGCCTGGACGCATTATTCCAGATGGGGCCGAACGGAAGCTGAGAATAGCTTCACAACTATGTCGGCAGTTAAGACCCCGAAAGAACGGTGCATTAACCGCAACATTCTGAAACCCCCTACTAGCGGCCTTCTTCCAGTTGTCACCAGAATGCAATGACGAGGAATGAACGACGCCCAGGTCTACCTGGTTGGAGACAAGTGGGAGTTCGACCCTACCGAGTACGTAGCTCGAAGGCAGGAAAGTTGCTCCTATACAATGGACGGAACACTTAGCCTGATTTATAGGCAGTAGCCACAAAGTAGACCAGTTCCAGAGTCTGTCCAGGGCATGCTGTATGGCCTCAGAACCCCCGGGAACATTTACAACATTCCATAGCTTAAGGTCATCAGCAAACAATAGGGTTGATACCCCAGGCTCTTCAGGGAGATCGTTTAGGTAGATGGACAACAGCACCGGTCCAAGGACCGAGCCCTGTGGGACACCGCTAAGGACCGCTTGCCTAAAGGATAAGCTGCGACCCACATGTACACACTGCTCTCTTCCCTGCAAGAACGCAGATACCCAGTGAAGGGGCACGGCCAGATAAGCCGTGGGAGCTCAGCTTTTGTGATTGCCCCAAGTGGGGTACCTTATCAAATGCTTTCGAAAGTTTACGAAAAGCACATCCACTACTTGGCCATTGTTCATTTCCTCGGCCTAAGCTTCACGAGCAATCAACCAATTCGTCAGACGCGAAAACCCCTTCCGGAATCCATGTTGTTCACTAGTGAGTAGATTAAATCTATTCAGGTGACCTTCCAACGAATCTCTCACCAGGTTTTCAAACAGTTTGACCACGACGCTAGTCAGACTGACTGGCCTGTAATTGGCTGACAGACTCCTGTCGCCACGTTTGAAGATAGGACAGATGGCAGCCTCCTTCCATTCAGAAGGTAATGTACAGCTGTCGAGTGAGTGTACTTTGTGTTGCAGCTCATACTTTTGGAAACGGAAGAACTTGAAACGCCAGACCGGTGGAATATTACAAAAGGGTATTTATATTACGTCGTTAGTTTCGTGACAAATACTATACAACACCTACATCGTAGCCGGGGCTTTTCATTGAATTAGCAGTGCAAGCCATTTATACGAACCAATGAAAACCATCAATAAGAATGTGAAATGCCTAACCCCTGTCGATGAAAAGTGGCAAAATAATGAATGGCTTTTAATCACAACTGTTGCTGCGATTTTTCATAATACGTAAGCTCATCTAGTACCAATAGTTTTAATTCCCTGGTGACGTGGCGCGTCGTAGAAACATAGCCATTAATCAATAGCAGACAAATTAATTTAAACAGATTATTACTTCGGATCAGACACCAAAAATGATATTTTCTCCGCAGTATGAGTAACGCTTTTGGTTGCCAACATAATAGAACAATAAACAATGCGGATGTTTTCTGCTGAGCGATCTTAAGTGCGTTTCCTTCCTTCTGATATCGCTGCTTTGTAGTGATTAGTGAAGCGGAAGTACGATGGCTCTAAATTGTTCCGCATGTGATAAAGGAAGCACAGCTCGCTCGAGGGCAGTTCGGTGCACTCGCTGTGACGGTTGGTTGCAAGTGAATTGTGTTAATATCTGTCCCTTTCTTTACGAATCCCTTCAGCCTACCACCCCTCCGTTAATTATCTTCCACTGTGGCCCTTGCCAAACTGCTTCGAGCTGCAGACGTCTTTTGAACATGCTCCCACTGTTTAGCCCAGCTGCTGCACATGACCTGAAAGTGAGTCTGATTGGGGTTGGCCTCCCGGCATCGCCTTTTTCTTCCTATTATATGGTTGTTTTTGCAACGCCCGCTGGTGCCAAAAGTAGGCATTCTGTTGCCAATATTTCAGTGCCACTGCTTCAAAATACACGGCGCGATGGTCGTATAGGGAAGTCCTATGCATTCGTAAAGAGAGAAAACAAATTTCAGGCAACACATTCGTCTGCTACTGTGCGTGCTACTGCGCAAGCTGCAGGCAAATGTGGCGAAGCCTAAACCGGATCCTGGGTCAAGTTCGTCACATCCCAAGCTGACAAGCGTCCTTGCTCGCGTCAGCCGGTTTGAGAAACTGAACACCAGAAGTCCACATGAACCAAACCTGCAGCACCCTGTTGGAAGTGCTTGATGTCTGACATTCCTGAACGCCGCCGAATTGAATAAGAAAAGCTGCTGTGAGAATATCGAATGACCGGGCCTTCATCCAGCGAACGATTTTCCTTATGTTTGACCTTGGGCGACAAGGAATAAACCTCCTTTCTGCTTTTTATCTTGATAGGAAGAAATTGCATTCTCCAATTCCGTCCCGTGAAAATCCTCTGTCTAAGGGAGGACAAATGACATTGCATTCTCCGACAAGCTTTTCGTCTCATTGGAGTGGTTTTCTACCTCCTAATAGATATCTCCAGGAAGAAACATTAAAATAAAGAAAGCTGTCAAAGAGTTGCGTACACCTAGAGCGAACGGAGAAGCTGACCTCCGAATTGCCGATATTCGGATGGTCCATATCCCCCAAGAAATCGCGCCAGGTCATTGTGCATCATCCGAGGAATTTAAGCTCGAAACTTAGTCTACAAGTGATTCGTGGTAAGTGCGAATTTTGAAAAACAAGTTAGTTGCTGTCTCGCACTTCAGCTCAGAGCACTACGCGGATTTGATAACTTCCACTGAGCATTAGTTGTCTTCGGACATCCCGGACACGGATCTGCCGGTCCAGGGGTACCATCTTGCTCCAGCTAATCGTATTGCTGCTAGATCTGGGGGCGGTGTTATTCTGTATTGGATGCCGGACCCCCAGGGTTCATGTTGTGGAGGCGGTAAGTGCCAGCAACCTTGACTGGAAGCACTTTAGGGTCTAGTTCACTTCCGGTGCAGGTCCCTCTTCGTCAGCCTTGTCTACAGCGTCGCAATACAATCAGGATGCTGCCTGTTGAACTCCATAAGGAAGCACGGAGGAGCAAAGACTGCCTACTGACGGACGACTTCAATGCCCCAAGTGTTGCTTGAGCCCTAGCCACAGCGCTCTGGCCCCTGAGTCTTTAGTCAGTGGCAAACTGGAAACCGTCTTGGACGTTACCCTGATTCAACCTGTTATAACGCCTATTTGAGTACTCCAGATCCAGACGCCGCACATCCGTGACCTAGTGCTCACGCCTACAATTTCTGATGTCTCCGGCTTACCAGTTAACCAGACGATTGGTAAAAGTGCTCATAGTATTGTTTCATTGCTTTTGGCACGACGTTTCACTGTTAACGACAAGGTGTATCAATGGAATTTCTGACGCGCTGTTCGCTCACGTTCAAGGTCGGCTGCAAATGTGCTGGAATGGAAGGTTCCGCATCACTTGGAACTCAAGGATGTATGGGACCAACTGTGCTCTAAGAGAGGGTCCATCCTTGATGATATAATACCGGTTACCAGAAGGAGGCCATCCACTACTTGTCCTCAGTAGAATGAGGGCGAAGTGTGGTCCCTGAGGGAGGAAGGCAGAAATCTGTGGGACAATTGCAAGCTTAACCGGTCAGCTTCAGCCTATCTGGAGTACAAAACTCTTGGGAACTTATGCACTACAAAAATGTGGGAAGCAGCAGCCATCCAAACGTGGCTTGGCCAAGCAGTCATCGCCTGCTGCTAAGGGACTTTGCTATCACGTAAGGCGAAGTAATAATGTTGGCAATGGGGTTCCCGACATGTTTCCCTCTCGAGAGATTGTTGTACCGCATGACAACTATGCTAAAGCTGAGCCGCTTGCCTCACAGTATGCTTCAGGATACTCAGTATTGATACCGTTTCTTCGGGAGTTTGTACGTCAACTCCATTCTCCCTTCACACCAGTCCGCAGAAATCAGTAGAGAGCTCATGCGTAAGTTATTTCATGAACTGGATGTCCACCCCTCTCAAAGGTCTGATGTCTCGCATCCTGTTTTCCTCAAGACCGTGACCGAGTACATGCTACTCC